CACTCATACACTCACACACTCACACACTCACACACTCACACCCTCACACGCTCACACACTCACACACTCACACACTCACACACTCACACACTCACACACTCACACACTCACACACTCACACACTCACACACTCACACACTCACACACTCACACCCTCACACACTCACACACTCACACACTCACACACTCACACACTCACACACTCACACACTCACACACTCACACACTCACACACTCACACACTCACACACTCACACACTCACACACTCACACACTCACACACTCACACACTCACACACACTCACACATCACACACACACACACACCCACACACACTTGTGCAATCTCCACACCAAGTCTTGGGGTCCTGTTTACCTGGTCTACACCTCACAATCCTGAAGTTCCCAACTTGCTAAAATGATTCGTGAGACTGAAGAAATCGCAGGTACACAGAACTGGCCAAGTTCTGCATCCCATGAGATCAGGTAGCTTCATTGGATGTGGTCCCTGATCTCACGCCACATCCCCCTGCATGCTCTAACGGTAACAGCTCTTCACACTTGCTCCCTTGGCAACAGGGTTGGCACACACACACACCCTTCAATCAGAAGAGTGGAGCTCTTGCAGCCATTGAGCACAAGCATAAAGTCAAGTTCAAGATCAAGAACATGTGCAGCTGCCACAATCTCCGCTGGTCAGAATTGCGAAAAGCTGCTGGCAACAGACTGAGCATGTACTGCACGCAACGCTGCAAGTCAGTGAGAATCACTCGCTGCCACGAAGAAACTTCCACTTGCAACCGTCTGGCTCTACCCGCAGGATTCTGCATTCCACATCTCTGCGCTGCTAACACGGAAGACTACAGCACTACAGGAACTTGATCACTCTCAACACGCTGCGTAAACAATGGTACACCGACCAACACTCACGCAACATCACTTGGGTGGAGATAACCCTGGCTGAAGTCTCTAACAGGATGGATCGACAACTGGCGTAGGACCTGTTCGGTATCTGGTTTGAACATCAGCAGACTGTGGACACAGTCAAATTCACTCGCTCAAAGGTGCAGCAGTTGAGGGGGGAAAATGCTGACAGGCTGTTGCTCCGATCAGGGAGCTCAGGATGGTCAATCAAGACCATAGTATCAGGCAGGCAACCCTGCTGCAGACAGTGCGATAGACGAATACTGCCTGGAGCACACTTGTGCAATCTCCACACCAAGTCTTGGGGTCCTGTTTACCTGGTCTACACCTCACAATCCTGAAGTTCCCAACTTGCTAAAATGATTCGTGAGACTGAAGAAATCGCAGGTACACAGAACTGGCCAAGTTCTGCATCCCATGAGATCAGGTAGCTTCATTGGATGTGGTCCCTGATCTCACGCCACATCCCCCTGCATGCTCTAACGGTAACAGCTCTTCACACTTGCTCCCTTGGCAACAGGGTTGGCACACACACACACACACACACACACACACACACACACACACACACACACACACACACACACACACACACACACCCACACACACCCACACACACCCACACACACCCACACACACCCACACACACCCCCACACACCCCCACACACCCACACACACCCCCACACACCCACACACCCACACAACACCCACACAACACCCACACAACACCCACACAACACCCGCACACCCCCCCCCCCCCCCCACAGTCGCTGCACACACCCCCACACACCCACACACACCCACACACAGACCCACACACCCCCAACCCACCCAACACACACCAACACACACCCACACACACACACACCCCCACGTGACCACCCCCACACACCACACACAACCACACAAACACCCTAGACACACCCACACACACGCCACACACAACCCACACACACCCACATACCCACACTACCCCCCCCCCCCCCCCCCCCACACACAACCACACACACACACAACCACACACACACAACCACAGACACAACCACAGACACTAACACAGACACAACCACAGACACAACCACAGACACACACACACACACAGACACACACACACACACAGACACACACACACACACACACACACACACACACACACACACACACACACACACACACACACACACACACACACACACACACACCACAACACACACACACCACAACACACCCACAACCCACGCCCCCACCCACCCACACCCCACCACGACCCACACACCCCACCCCACCCACCCCCACCCACACCCCACCCACACCCACACCCACACCCAACCCCACACCCACACCCCAAACCCAACCACTAAGGCCCACACCCACACCCCACCCACACACCACACACACCACCCCACCCACCACAACTCACGCATCGCACGCACGCACGCGCCACATGCGCAATGCCATGACATGGAAAAATTGCACATGGCACTATGCGTGCGCGTGGCCCTGCCTATGCCTATGCCATGTCGCTGCCTCCGGGCTGCACAATGGTGTTGCAGGATTCGTCGGAGGCCTTGAAGGTGTCCAAGGTCGCAGCCAACTGGAAGGCCTACGTAGACTTTGTGGCTGGGCTTTAACACAGCAAGGCAAGGCCCGGCAAGGCAAGCTTCTTGAACCAATCTAAAGTTAGGAGGGATTGGATTCTCGGTGCACCTGCTGGAAGCTGCAAGTTGGACTCGCTCTCCCTCTTCAACAGCCTGTGAGAGCAAGCTCCCTGTACACGATGTGGCGCAAGGATTTGGGGAGTCTGGCTAGATGCCGAGGTCAACAACATTGTCATAGAAGGCTTTGTCTCATCCATCGCGGTCTCTCTTCAACATCTCTGCGAGATCTTGGATCCGCTCATCATCGCCAAGCACGAGATGCTGCCTCTCTTCGAAGTGAAGGTGTGGGCGTTGTGACATCATGCAGTTATCTCGTAGCACACAGGTCCCTGTATTTCAGCCACTTTCGCTCTTGCCCTGCAGGTGGAGTTGCAAGACTCAGAGATCATCTTTGACCCACCCTTCCAGTCGCACAAGCCAGGGGACATTTCCTTGAGAGCGACCATTGATGGCTGGCTCAAGGACTTTTTCGCGACAGTTACTTGCATGCAGCGGCTTGACACCGGCAGCGGTGATTATCTCAATGAGATTCGAGAGCACTTCCAGATGCAGCTCGGTGGCAGCAGCTCGTATTTTTCGTTGGGCTGGCGATTTTGCCTGCGCAACATACCCATTAGTGAAGGTTCGGTCAGCTGCCAGCTTGCAGCAGGTTAAGCGCCGGTGAGAACCTCACTCTTCTCTGTGTATGATCAACATGCGGTCTTAGGGAATCTGAAAGACCCAAATCCTTGATCCCCTATACTACGAGCTGCTGGACAGGCAGTGCTTGCTTGCCTTGGTTTCAGAGCTCATTGACAACACCGAGTTGAAGTGCTTCTTGGCTGGAGCTCGGATGCTTTGCATTGCGCTTTGCAAGGGCTCACAGAGAAACGAGGGAGCCTTGAAAGAGCCTGCCCTGTCCTGATTGCAATTTCAGACCAACAGCCTGCGGGTCCTTGAGCAGGGAGCTTCCACTTGATAAGCAGTGATCACGGACAAGGGGAAGAAGAAACCAGAAAACACATGGACGCACATCACCCTACAAAGCTTGGAGCTTTGGTTCCTGGCCCTAGTTCCCAAACCTGCTCGTGCAAATGCCACCCAGCCCCGAAAGCCTACAAATCGCCTTGATTGAAGGCATGGACTACCGCGAGACCTTCATGCAACACTCGTAGCTTTGCAGCACTTAGTCTCAGTTTAACAATCCATGGGTACATTGTGGTGGTTCTGGCCTTTCTGTGCCGAGATATCTGTGGACAGAGTCGATCGACAAGTCCTTCGAGAAGTTCTTGCAGGATGGTTTATGACTTAAGGGCATTGTGCACCAGCTTCTGTCCATCAACCTTTGTCAGGAGGGTGCCAGAGACCTCGTGGAAGGGTTTGAGGAGGAAGGACAAAAGGGACTGCCCCTCGAACTGTTACAGCACAGTCTTGGGCGGATCCATCTCGGAGCAGTAAGGGTGAACCCTTTTCATGTCCACGGTGTGTCGATTCCGTGACCACACAGTTCCCCACTCCCATCTGATTCTATTCATCGATGCATGGCAAGCTGTCTTTGGTTAGGTCATTCCGGGACATCATGGAGCGCATCAAGGTGGACATCGGCCGCCAGATCCCTCCACTTGAGCAGTTCGACAAGCAGATCATCAACTTCAAGAACCTGAAGCAGGAGACACTCAACAAGCTGCAGGGCACACAAAAGGGGCGAAGGGACTTCTGAAGTACCCAAAAAGCAAAGAATACGAAAGTTAGAAGCCATGAGCTCTCGAGTGAAGGATTGGTTGTTCTGGGTTTGTTTAATGGCCTTTGAGGGGAGTTAGCTGTTGATTCAATTGCTTTTCGAAGGCTTCGGGGGAGACAATCACCTCTGGAGTTAGTTGCCTCCGCTCGCTTTTGAAGCTAATGATGCTAATGGCTTTCTTTTGGTTTGTCCGATGTTGATTGAATGCCTTTCCTTAGCGGGACACTGAGAATGCAATCACATCACCGCGTTCATTGTTTTGGAAAAGACCCGCGAAACTATTCGCAGAACACAGCAAACACTGAACATCTGACGAGGCCGTAGGGAGAGCTTACCCAGACCCATGCAAAAAGTTCTTATCCCATGGTTCAGCTGATTCTAGCAGAATAAAAGACTTTTCCCTAGACTCAGCTGATTCCTGGGGCTGCATGTAGCTTTGGAACTAAAAAAGGAAGCACCGATTGCCTGCTGCCTCGCGGAAAACTGAGAAGGCCCAACACGGAGGGAGAGCTTACACAGATTCATGGGAAAGAACATATGTCTCTGGAGTGGTTCCAGACAAGAGGGGTAGCTCTGGAGCCAAAAGAAGATGCCCATTCCGTGCTCCGTGGCGGGACGGAGAAAACAATTACTGGAGCTAGTTGTATAAGAAGGTCAAGCATCTCCAGTATATAGCTGCAAGAACAAAGATTCTGGATTTCATTCATTTCACGTCCTGGAGGTTTGAACACTGCCCCCGAGAGGCAATGAAGTCCCGATGCAAGTATGGCCCATGCAGGATCTATCCAACATGAAGACGCCCGTGGACATCCATTGGCTTCGTGTGGGTACCTTGGCACGGCTGCTAGTCTGGGGTCTGAAAGGTAGTATGCCATCTTCCGAACCAGATCAGGATTCTCAAGGGTCCTGGCAGTCCGCAAGCAATTGCACCTTCAGGAATTAGTACTGGTAGACTTGGATCAGCTTTTCTTAGCACAGCCTGTTCAAATCGCTGCTCGACGCAGGAGCGCAGCCTGTGAAGCTGAAGTTGGTTTCCTTCGCTCGACAGTGGGAGGAGAAGTATGTGGACTTCATCAAGAGCTTCACGGAGGAATGTTCTTGCCAATGCCGACAAGACATAAAGTCCATAAGGGCTCATAGCATGCGCGCAGGGTGGAACCGTCTGACCATGAAAGGAGCGGATCCGCACGCTGGTCAAGTTCATCAACGAGCAGCAGGAAGGTTTGGGCCCTCCCTCGCCGGTGGATGAGCCGGAGAATGAGAAGTTGCTGCAGCTTGGAGTTAAGCTTGGCTGTGCTTTCGGCTTCAAGTAAGCCCTCCAGGATGTTTCAGAGGAGGGCATGGACACCGGTTGAGGTACTCGACCATGACCAACATCCGTGATGTGAAGCTGGCTACAAATGCGGTCAAGAAGCTGTTCCCACCAATCAGGGACCTGTGTCAGCTCTTGAAAAAGCACCACGTGAATCATGATGGCCTCACTGAGCTTGACCAGGCAACTCGTGCTCCAAGAAACACACGTGTTCTTCCGACTCAGTATCTGCTTTTCGCTGCATTCTCTGTTGAAGCTCGTTCTGCCTTGCCGAGGCACCCAACAAATGGGACGAAGTTATCCGCATGGCCTTTGATGTGAAGGAGCAGATTCTACCTTTGCAGAGTGACCCTTGGATTCAGAGCAACTGTAGCTCAAACGGCTGCTGTTGCTGTGATGTGCTTGGTGGCCTGATTGGCTGGTTCATGGGAGTGTACTTGCTTTTGCGAAGAGGCCCAAGTTGCTGTTGCGCTGCTGGTGTAGCAGCATCCTTGTGGGCTTAGAATGCTTTAATGCGGTTGAGCCACATGCAGCTTGCATGCAGCTTTGCTGCTGCGCCATCTAGCACCCTATTTGTATGGCTAACTTGTGGGTACATGCCGTGCCTTCCTTGCGGGCAAGGAAGAAGTTCTGAAGATCCGAAACAAGATCGATGTTTTCGCAGAGGAACTTCAAGGTTTCTGCCACGAGTTCCGGGAGAAGTGCCCATTCGACCCTGCGAATGCTGTGGGCGGAGACTATGACTTGAGCTACGAGACCATGAACGAGCAGCCTATTTACGATTAATCAGCGCGAGAGCATGAGGAGATTTTCGGGGGGGACGGATCCTCAAATAAGGTACTACAACAAGACCCTGGCCATTCGGCAACGTGCCAATGAGTTCAATGCCTCTTGGCATTGTCACAGAAGTTTGCGTTTCTCGTTAGCTGAAGCTATGAAATGTCGACCCATTGGAGTGATGACATTACAATCACGGTGTTGAATCGGGTTATACATTGCACCGGTCAAGCCAGCATGCTTCAGATGCTTCAGTTGCAAGAGACCAAAAGAAGCCGTCATTCGATCTGGGGTTGGAGGACCTGGAGTTGCTCTTCGACATGCAGATGTCCAGCTACCGAGAGCTGAAGGATCCGAAGCCACCTCACATCACCTCACATCACCTCACATATCCTGGCCAACTAAGCATCTCCCAATCACAATCCTTTCGCCAGGACTGCCAGGAAGAGCTGATTCTGTTGAAGAACCTTTGGGATGGTGTGACGCTGGTGTGCGCCCCATGGGAGGGGTCGTGGGTATTGTTCAGGATGCGTATTTCGGGATAGTTCACCTATGTTCACCTTCTATGACATTGCGAACTGACGGAGCCAAGGTGAAAGAGACGTTCGAGAGCTGGAACAGCATTCTTTGGGATAAGATCGACACGGACTCCCTGGTCCAACAAGCCCGCGATCTTCAGAACCAGGCCTCTTCAGTGCCGGTGTAATCGATTTTCACCTGGCAAATTATGAGAAAACATGAGAACCGGCAAAGAAAGAGCCTTGCCCATGCAAGCTGTTTGCAAGTTTGGTTTCCAAGGGTCGGGGAGAGGCACGTGCTTTGGCAGCTTTCGTGCGGGTGATTGTGGCAGGATTGATGCAGTTCCCGGATCGCTTGACATGCGTCAAAGACGCTTCAGTCTGCTTATGATGTGGGTCGGAGATGCTCGATCCCCGCAATCACCAATCTCCACCACCAGAGACAGGAAGAGAGGAGCCTCAACCCACTGAAAGGGGACGAATCACGAGACCATTTTTCAACGGGCCGTCCACAAAAACCACAGGAAACCATCACAGCCTCTTTTGCCCACGCACTTTCCCGACAAAGACCTGTGAGTAAGATCGATGAACGACAAGAAGAAAGACGCACCTGCAATTCTGTCGGGACATTTGGGAGAGGTCAAGAACATGCCCAAGCAGATCAGGGGCTGGCAGCTCTACCGATGGCTTACAGATGAGGTCAAGAACATGGCCACGGTGCTGCCTCTGGCATTCTGGCTGTGAAGAGTCAGCATCTTCCTTTTCCTTTTCTAAGGGGAAGTTGGTTTGTTTGTCTCGACTTGCTTGGTGCCATCTGCAAGGTCAACGATCTGCACGGCGAAACCATGCGCGATCGCCACTGGACAAGCATCATGACCATCACGCAGAAAACGTTTGAGAAGGGCCCGGAGTTCTGCTTCAAGGACTTCGTAGTGGTTTAGTGGTTTCGTGGTTTTTGGGTCCGATGACCCACCTTCTCAGTTGTGAGCGCGTGCTGGAGACAAGCCACTTTCTTGACCATGTTCCAGGACCTCCTTGACCTCAAGCTGCATGAGTTCGCGGAGGACGTCTCGGAGGTTGTTGACCAGAGTGTCAAAGAGGCAGGGAGGCTGTGTTGGAGTTGCACCATTCCAAGAAGTATATAGTGCGAGCTGTGAGGCGTTTCGCGTTGAATGAACTCCGTGTGCAGCTGCAGGCCAAAATCGAGAAGAAGCTTTCTGCTATCCGGGCCACCTGGTCAAAGATGCCGGTGTCTTTTGACTGCTCCAATCCCGACTGCCCGCTCCTCGGAGAACTTGGAACCTTGGCCTGCGGGGATGCATCTGCTTCGCAATGTTCACATTCCGCGTATCCAAAACGAATGTCGTGAGAGGCACTGTGTTGGGCACTGGGCTTGCTTGTGTTGGCCAAGGAGAGGTGATCGAGAAGCTGGACAGTGACTCACTAGAGATGATGGGCATGACCTCACAAGGCCGTTTCATCGAGTTCTGCTCCTCGGTAGAATTTGAGATGTCAAGTTTGCATTCGCTGCCCTGATTGTCACATTTTGTTCACGGGACCTTTCTCCTCCAGGCAAGCCGGTGGTCGACGAGTGGAGCGGCAAGCTGCGCGCCATTGATGGGGCCCTCAGCGTGTGGACCAAGGTGCAAGCCAACTGGTGCCGACTGGAGCCCATCTTCATGCATCTTGGCCAAACTGGCCAAACTCGAATGGAAAAATGTTCGTCTTGGACCAAAGAGAAACACGAAGATCACGAAGCCGAGGCAGAGTGCCGACATCCGGTCACAGCTGCCAGACGATTCCAAGCGCTTCGAGCAGATGGATGCAGCATGGAAGGCTCCGCAGCCCCAGTGGATTTCAGCTTTCGGGCTGGCACAGTTTGTGTCCTGTGTACCACAGGAGCTGATGATGGATGCCTCGAACAGCTCGCTGATTGTGGAAATTTGCTGTGCGGAGGGGTGGCCTCGGCTAAACGTACTCGGTATCATGTTGCGGCGTTCTGCAGAGCGACAGTTGGTCAAATTCATGCTTGCCGAGGCGCGAAGCCAACCTGAGGGCGATCTCCGAGGGGATCGATACATGCGAGAAGGCTCTGAACGAGTGCCGCAGCCGCACAGGTTAGGGCCACATGTGTTCGAAGTGCGGCACTGCTGCCCCAAACGCTGAATCCATGACTCGCTTGATTAAATTTCTTGGCCTGCAGATCACAGTCTGCAGAGCACCTTCTGGTGGGGGTGAGGGACTGCCCATTATTCCCATGCTTGTCTCAAATTGGGGCCCCGTATATCAAGAGCAAATCATGTTGCTGCAAGCGAAGTAGGAATATTTGAACTTGTGGTCCTTTGTTTTTTTTTGCAGCCAGAGCCCCGCAATTGTTTCCTTTACTTCTGAACTTCTGCAGACCGGCATGAGGTACTTGGAGCAGAAGAAGAAGGCCTTCCCACGGTTCTATTTCGTGGCAAACCAGGCCCTGCTGGACATCCTCTCCAACGGCGCCAAGCCGTTGAAGGCCATTGGGGGACATTGCACACCAAGCCTCCGGCAGACTCTAGCGTGTCCGCAATAGATGGGTACAGTTTAACAGCATCCAAACGCAAGCTGTGCTCAAAGTGCACCCCATGTCTACCCCAGCCGTCTTGAGTATAGGTTGCGGAGTACTTGGGTGACATCTTTGATGGCGTGAAGACCTTGGACTTTTCCAAAGCTCCGGACACTGGAAGAATCCCGGCTGCCACAATGTTCCAGAATGTTCCAAGAGCTTCATAGTTCCCCCCAGCGAGAACGTGCGATTACCTGGCAACGCAGGCCAGTGTACTCTCAGCATCTCGACATGCCATGCCAATCCAGTTTATTTGGTCCCACTGCAGTTTCAAATGAGGAATCGCCTGTGGCCATATTTCAAAAGACACCGAGAAAGTGGCTTGGGCAGAAGACATGCACATCGATGGCGCTGTGGAGGCCATGGTGTTCTTGACTTCAAGCATTCTTGTTTTGTTGCGTCGGCCAGACCTGGCCGACCAGCCAACCTGCATGGTTCCCTGCCTGTCAAACGCTGTGGTAGATTTCAACAGGATCATATCTGAGAAATGTGCTGCTTTTCGAGGTTGCAGCTGATTTCAAGGACTTGGATTTCGAAAGCCATTGTAACACATGCCTAGCTAACTGTTGTGGTGCACTCTTTGTTCACACAACCCGCCGGGCACAACTTCTCCAGGCAGTCTGTTGTGCTCAGGTAGCCGCCACAAGTATGTCAGGCATGGCACTCGCCAGTCCACATAACAGCAGCCGTTAAAAAACGGCAAGAGGGAGGGCAAGCAACAATGCTGGCAACACTTGCTACCTTAAGGGCAGTACACTAGAACGAGTCTCCCCCCCCCCCCACTTCGAAGACCTTTGCTTTGGCTTTTTCAACCATGAGCGAGCGAGACAGGAGAGGGAAGGCCTGTCCTTGCTTAGAAGAAAGAGACCGAGAGAGTTTCTGTGGTGTAATACACGGGAGATGGGCACGCATTTTCTGATCTCCACCCCCCCCCCCCCTCATCTCCTCCTCCCCAATCCTCATCCTGCCACTGCCCCACCTCCCCTGCGTCAAGCCATGGTCCAGCCACATGCACTTGTTCGGGTACCCTGTTTGGTGCGTGGCCTTCGTCTGCAAGTGAGACCCCCACTTGCAGGGCTACCTTCTGCAGCTGGAGGGCCATCTCCGCCTCCAGCTGCGCATCGAGCTGGAGCAGGTGACTCTGGGGCATGCAACGGAGAGGGATGCAGACAGTTCTGCAAGCAGTTGCATGGAAGTTCTAGGTTGACCAAGAATACGATAGGTTTGTTTCAAGCAAATGGTTCTGTTGGAGAGAAGGTCGTTGTGGTCACCCACTTGAGTTTAACAGGCGCGGGCAACTGCTGACAACTGGGAGCTGGACAACCCCCGAGAGTCACCGCCTTAAAGCAAGTCCTTGATAATTTCGGTACTGGGGCGGGAGTGTATTTGGGGGCTGCCAGGCTTTTTGTTTCTGCGATCATCAGTTTATAGAGCCAAGGTTCTGGTTGGAAGCCTACTGCTCGCAGCTGTCCTTGGTGGCTACCCAGATCATGTGGACAGAGGAGACGAATCGGGTCTTCGAGGAGATCGAGAGCGGGAGTGAGACAGCCATGAAGGATTACAAGCGCGTGAATGATGAGCGCATTGAGAAGCTCATCAAGCGCGTGCAGACCAAGCTGAGCAAGGACGTGCGTAACAAAATCATTACGCTGATTACCATTGACGTCCACGGCCGCGACATCGTTGAGCAGATGGCAATTGCAAAGATTTCGGACAACACGAACTTCAAATGGCTCTCGCAGCTGCGGTTTCATTGGAACTATTGTCCGCAGGGCCAGAACCTGGTCAGCTACACCCCGGATGACCTGAAGACGTGCGTGATTCGCATCTGCGATTGGACCACCATCTACTGCTATGAGTACGTGGGCAACTGTGGACGCTTGGTGATCACACCGCTGACGGATCGATGTTACATCACGTTGACCCAGGCATTGGGACTGACATTGGGAGGAGCGCCGGCTGGCCCTGCAGGCACTGGAAAGACCGAGACCACGAAGGACCTTTCCCGCGCACTTGGATTGCAGATCGTGGTCTTCAACTGCAGTGACCAGATGACATATCAGACCATGGCCCAGATTTTCATGGGCATTGCTCAGACAGGCTGCTGGGGCTGCTTCGATGAGTTCAACCGAATCTCAATCGAGGTTCTGTCGGTGGTATCGACCCAGTACAAATGCATCCTGGATGCGATTCGGGCACAAGTTCAGGTCTTCCTCTTCGCAGAGGAGGAAACAAAGCTGATCTCGACTTGCGGGGCTTTCATCACAATGAACCCTGGGTATGCTGGGCGAACAGAGTTGCCTGAGAACTTGAAGGCACTCTTCCGTTCGGTGGCAATGATTGTGCCGGATCTTCGGTTCATCTGTGAGAACATGCTCATGTCCGAAGGTTTCATCAAGGCGCGGCCACTGGCAAACAAGTTTGTCCAGCTGTACTCCTTGTGCAAGGAACTGCTGAGTAAGCAGATGCACTACGACTGGGGTCTGCGCGCCGTGAAGTCGCTGCTGCGACAGGCTGGCACACTGAAGCGCCTAGAGCCTGACAGTGATGAGAACCCTGTGCTGTGCCGTGCCCTCCGAGACTTCAACACACCCAAGATCACCACGCTGGACATGCCCATCTTTCTCCGGCTAATCATGGATTTGTTTCCTGGTGTCTGGCCGGATCCTTTCAGCGATCCTGAGTTCGAGAAGTTCTGCTGCAACATCGCCAAGCAGAGGGGCTTGCAGGAAGACCGGCAGTTCATCATCAAGATCGTGGGTATGCTGGGTATTCTTGGCGTGCGACACTGCATGTTCATCATCGGGCCATCAGGCTGCGGCAAGACAGAGGTCTGGAAGACGCTCATGGAAGCCTTGCGTGCGCGGGGTGAGGATGGGTTGCTCGGCCTTCTGGCAGCCGCGGCAGTTTTGAAACAGTTGTGAAACAGCACGTTCCCTTTGTTGCTCCACTGCGCAGTTTTGCCGGGTGCGTGCACCATCCACTGAGGCAGTGGGAGCAAGCGAACCCCAAAGCAGTAACCAGTGACGAGCTGTACGGCACAATGTCCAAGACGAAGGACTTCTGGGATTCGCCGATTAGAGAGAATGTGTTCCAGCATCCTGAGAGATAGATAGATAAACTGCTTTTTAAATCGTGTTTGTGCAACCACAGCTGGATGGACGCAGCAGCTTGTTGCAACACAAAGTGCTTCTAAGATGCATCGCTCTTCTAAGATGCATCGCTCGAGTGACTCTTGAGGAGTGGAAAGATGGCTTGATTGCCGTGATTTTCCGCAACATGAGAAGCTTGGCGTCCATCTCGTTTTGTCATGCTTCGATCATGGTTGCACTTAGAGCCAGAACCTTGCAAGTGCCTGTGGCTTGCGACAGAGATTCCTTTGCACAAGCGAACTGAGGCAAAGAAATGAATGGGTACAAAGCGTCGCATCAACACAAGTGGGTGATCTTAGATGGTGACATTGATGCGACATGGATCGAGTCCATGAACACGGTCATGGATGACAACAAAGTCTTGACGCTGGTGTCCAACGAGCGAATCCCGTTCACGCCTACGATGCGCATGATCTTAGAGATCCAAGATATGAAGCATGCAAGTCCTGCTACCGTGTCTCGTGGTGGCGTGTTGTTCATCAATGAGACGGACATTGGTTGGAAGCCGTATGTGGAGAGTTGGCGTGAGAAGTTGGACCAGATCCCACAAGGAGCCTTCTACCTGCATTTCTCAAATTACTTTGAGGCCAACATCGAGGCAATTCGCAAGTCGTTCAACTTTTCGTGCCCAATGTTGGACATGGGCTTCATCAACAGCCTCACTTGCTTCATCGATGCGCTGCTCAACAACAACACCAAAGAAAACATGGAGGCGCTACGCACGATGAGTCCAGAGGATCAGAAAATGAGCTATGATGCCCTTTTCTGCTATGCCATGATGTGGACGATCGGCGGCTCCATTGCAGATGACAAGACGGTGAACTACCGCAAGAGCTTCAATGCGTACATGAAGGGTCTCTCGAAGGCAGTTCGCTTCCCTGACCAGGGCGATTGCTACGACTTCATCTACGAGCCAAAAGCCAAAGACTGGGTCAGCTGGGAGACGTACATCAAGCCGTACCAGCCGCTGGCGGAGCAAATGTACCAGAACATTGTCATCAGCAACATGGAGTTGGAGCGCATGAAGTACATTCTGGAGCTGCATGTGGCCAGGAAAAAGCCGGTGCTTTTCGTCGGTGTTGCAGGCACTGGAAAGACGACCATTGTGAAGGACTACCTTGCGGACATGAAGGCCAACAACGAGGACATGATCAGCATGTCGATCAACAACAACAACTACACAAGCAGCTTTGCACTGCAAAACATCATCATGAGCGCATTGGACAAGAGATCAGGTCGAACGTTCGGGCCGCCAGCGAACAAGAAGTGTGTGTTCTTCATCGACGACTTGAACATGCCCTATGTAGACACCTACGACACGCAGTCGGCAATCATGCTGCTGAC